AGGGAGAAAGGCGGGGGCTCTGCTCCCGGAAGGATGTGCAAGGTCTCAGACACCCTGCCGAGGGCCGCTCCCTGCCATGCATCCAATGGCTTAATAAAACCCGTAGCTTCTGTTCCGGATGAAAACCCCCCTACGAACTACAAATAGATGGGAACCTCCCTGAGTCGAAAAGCCTGCGGTGACCTCTATAGACTGCACCCTGAAACAGGGAACGCTTCCCTCCTGAGACGTGGGCCGAGGCCAGCAGGTCCACTTCCACTCAGCACTGGACAAGAGGCTCCGGCGGAAACAAAGGGAGGGAGAGGAGGAAATGGCAGGCGCCAGAGAAAGCAAGCGGCACAGCCGTATTCTGGGGCGGCACGGCTGGCTTCCCAGGGCTGTCTACGGTATCGAGAAAGACTGTTTCCATGATCCCACGCAACAAAACCCACCCACTTGGCCGAATGGCTTCCCGCACAGTCCTCATTCCATGGTGGGGTCATGGTCAAACACTTCTCTCAGCCCCGGCACCTGGGGCCAGGCCCTCACCTGCAGCCTGGCCGTCTGGGTCTGCAGCGTGGTGTTGCGCTCCTGCAGGAAAGCGCTCTGATTCTGCAGCGTCAAGATCTGAGTGCTGAAGGCCACGTTCTGGGATTCCAGGTGCTGCAGCTGGTCCCGGAGCAGCTGCTTCTCGGCCTGCAGCGCAGCATTCTGGGGGCGGGAGCAAGAGGCAGACGGCACCCTGGCTGGGGAGGCGCTGGCTGGCCACAGACACAGGCTGTAACAACCCTCAAGCCACGGTGTTTTCAGGGCCCGAGCCAGAGTCCGCCGGGGGAGGGAAGGGACAATTTTCCCTGTTTGAAAAGGACAATCCACAGGTTCACTATCCGAGGGGCTTGAAAACGTTGGTGGGGAAATGCTGGTTATCTTTGCATGACCTTTTCCCAAAACTGTGTGAAGCTCCTTCACATACGTGTACATATGACATATCTATATTCTACATACACACATCCACCCCGCCACACACACATACCCACAATGGTGGACCCTAAGGAATCAGAGACCCATGTGGCACGGAACCTCAAATTCTTAAGTCAGACGGACTCACCCCAAAGGTCACCTTTCGGCTAAGTAACAGGTGGTTTCTGGAAACAGTGGCTACCACCTGTGAATGCTCTGCTCCTTTACAGATGCGAGGGCCAGCCAAGCACCTTTAGCCATCGAGGGACCGGGAGGGGCAGGGGAATTAGACAAAGGGAAACGGGCACCAGGCTGCCCCGTCACGGTGACGGCGATCAGTGTCCGTGAACAGCTGTGGGAGCCTAACTGCTGTTAGGTCGACCTCCACCGAAAACACAATGCTTCAATACAGAGACAGAGACAGGACAGACCGACAGACAGAGGCAGGCCATCGAGACAGCCAAGAGCAGGATGGTGGGGGACACGTGCCGGCCTGTGTGAGTTGGGGGCAGGTGTGAGGTGCAGGGCCCTGTCTGTCTTTCTTCTCTGATGCTTGTCTCAGCTTTCTGCCGGGCCCGGGAAGACGCAGGCTGGAGAAGAAGCTCGTCTTCGGACAGGAGACTGACAAAGTTACCAGGCCAAATATGTCCCAACTGGGCCAGGGCTGGGACCTGTGGGCTGCGGCCCTGTACGGTCCCTCATTCCCACAGGACTCGGAATCTGTTTCCTCCACCGCCAGGCAGAAATCATCCCTGTCTCCTTCATAAAGGGGCTGTGAGGATCCAACAGAAACCGTGAGCGAGTGCACGGATCGGTGGGCCTTTTCCGGGAAGGGCCAGAGAGCAAGCCCTTTGGAGCCTGCGCACCAAGACCTTGTCTGCCTCACTGCTTCTCCCTGTGCTGCTGTAGGACAGACGCCCCAGGATGGAACAAGAGGACAGGGCAGACTTTAGGGCCAGTGGAGGTCACAGAGCAGGGCACCGGCCAGGCCCCACCGACTGGGAAACGGTCTCCTACCTCAGAAACCCTGATGGCATCACTTCTCCACCCCTCCTCCCACCATACACATCCCCCCAGAAGCCCTGGATGAAGCTCCACAGACCCTGCCCTGCCGGCCTTGCTCAGAGGACGAGGAGCAGGCCGGCCACCTGGACACACTCACATTCCGCTCCAGCTCGATGGCCCGGTCCTTCACCCGGAGCAGCTCCATCGTGGCCTCCTTGTGGCCGGGTCCCCAGACCTCCTTGTCCGGGTGACTGGTGGCTGGCACCCCCAGGGGGTGCGGGAGGGCGTTCTGCAGGGGCCGGCCCTCACCCTGGTTCCTGAGCAGCTTACACTCCTCCTTCACCTGTGGGGACCAGCCAGCCTTGAGGCAAGAAGCGGCCTGCTGCCAACCAAGGGATGTCCCTGCTGCCGGCTCGCTTCTGACTCCCAGCCACCCGAGGAGACAGACGGAGCACAGCTGCTCTCGAGCGCCTCTAAGCCTCGTTGTGCTGCGGGGCGGCTGCGGGGTTCCAGACGCTACCGCTGCCATTCTATGCCCGGTCCTTCGGCCGAGTGCCACCAGGGCTCCTTGGTGCTAGAGGAAGCTCCCACACCACGCCATCCGTGCCTCCTCACACCCGCTATTCACCTGGCACTGGTATACAGGAAGCATTTTCGCTTGTTTTTTGGGTGGGTAGGGGGACTACACCTAACCTTTGCTTCTCTGGGCTTCCTCCCTTTCTTTCCGGGGAGGGTGGTTGAGGACAGGGCCAGGGAGCCACTTTAGCCACGTGACTGTGGGAAAGGCTTCCCTCTTTGAGCTGCAGGTGTCCATTTTTGCATTAAGGGGAGGTGAGCCTGTGGCCCCGGGAGTAGGTGCTCCTACTGCCCCTTCCAGCTCTAGAGCTGCCTTGTTCTAGATTCCTCATTCAAGCACGTCAGGAAACTTAGCAAGTATTCAGAAGGGAGGCTGGGCGTGCACCTGTGCATGTCTCCCAGCCCCTGTGCACCCTCCTTCCCCTGGACAGAGCCTGGGACCATCATTCCTGTGGGCTCTCAGAGTGTTGCCTGCATGCAGGATTGGATGGCAGCACCCTCAGGGATCAGCCACCCAAGGGCGAGGACAGAAAGAGGGAGCCGGGGGCATCAGAGATGAGCCGGCGTCAGGCCCGGCCGCCGTCAGCTCTCACCGTCTGGAGCTCCTTCTGTAAGTGGTGGTTGAGGCTCACTTTCTCCTCCATCTGGGCTTCCAAGAACACGATCCTTTCTTCTTTCATGGCGAGCGTTGTTTTTAATGCCGACTCGTTTCTGCCCTCCAAAAGCTTGTAATTTCTGAAACGCAGAAGATAATAACAGAATCACATAACTGATTCTACTACCCACCAGCTCCCAACTGTCCACAGAGGTCCTGCCATTAAGCTGGTTTCTTTTCCCACCCTGTAGCTTCTGGCCCAGGAGCCAAAAACCATGTGTGCAGAGCCCGTCCTCCAGCTCCCCAGGTAACTCTCCAGGTAAACACCACTGTGGCACTGTAGCCCCAAAACCCACTGCCGTTGAGCCAATTCTGACCGACAGCAGCCGCGTCAGATAGAACAGAACCGCTCCTGAGGATTTCCAACACTGTAACCTTTGTGGGGGCAGACAGCCTCGTCTTTCTCCCAAGGAGGAGCTAGCTGGTGGGTTTGAACCAGGAACCTTGAAGCTAGCAGCCCCACATCTGTCCACAGCACCTCCAGGGCTCCCTGTCATTATCTCAGGGAGGTACGATGTTAGAGATGGGGAAACTGTCTTGGAAAGGCTCAGCTGTGTGTCCAAGGTCACGGTAGCGGGCAGTTGCTTAGGCTGTGGCCTTGCCCCCACAGAGGCAGCCCGTTTTCTCACCACTGCCTGAGCTACCGGATTTCCTTGAACACTGGGATCACGGTACAAAGAGCAGAGCAGCGACGAGCTGCTCTCATTGAGGAAAGACACGTAGATGCCTTTCTCCAGGGCATCAGAACGATGCGGACCTCTAGGTACGTGACGGGGTGGAGAGGAGCCACGGGCTATGGAGCCACGTGACAGCTAAGTCCTGGGCTGGATAGGGTGGCCAGATTCCTGCGGGCCACGTAAAGGGCAGGTCGCAGCGCTGCCCGTGGAGGGGGCGCCTCACGTGTCATGGTTGGGGCCATCGTCCTGAAGCAGTAGCTCTTTGCTGAGGCCGGCCTTCTCCAGCTCCTGGCTCAGCTTGTCCAGCTCGCTGGTCAGCTGTTGGCCCTTCAGCTTCTCCAGCACCAAGTCCTGCAATAACAAGACCATGAGCTCGGGACAGGGACCCGGTGGACACACAGCAGGGGCCACTGGTCACCCCCAGTCTGAGCAGTATCTTCTCCTCCCCTCATGACATTAATAAGGAGCCTCTCCAGCTCATCTGAGCCTGGATGCACCCCGGAGACCTGTCTAGCATCACAGCGACACCCGAGCCTTTACCTGCCGACACATGGGTGGGGCTTGTACAGGAAGTGCCTGCAAACTGAACCCCAGTCTCACTGAAAGACAAGAAGCCCCTCTGGGACCTGAGATTACAGAGCTGGTCTGTGTCTGGCTCTTCGTGCCTCTGAGTGCTTCGATGGACAGGGATAAAGCCTTAGCGGGGCACCGAGTCCTACTGCGTTCTGGAACCATCTCCCGCCCACCCACCGGCAAGCCCTACCCGCCCCGGCTCACCTCTCTCAGGGTGGTCAGTGTCCTCGTGTGCATGGTGAGCTGCTTGGTGAGGTCCCTGTTGTCTTTCTCCAGCTCCTTCAGCTTGCTGGCCGCGTCCCGGCAGCGGGCCAGCTCCTTGTCCAGCGCGCGGCCCTCCCTCTCGGCAGCGGACAGCCTGGCGGCGCTCTCGTCCAGAGCGGAGTCCTTCAGCGCCACCTGCTGCCACAGCCGCTTCGTCTCCTTCTCCAGAGACTTCCGGTCCTTCTCCAGCTGGGCCACGTCCTGCTCCAGGGCCCTTTTGTCCAGCTCGAGCCGCTCCAGCTGCTTGCTGGCCAGCCGCAGGGCCTCCAGGTCCCGCTGCAGGGCCTGGTTCTCGGCCTCCAGCTCCTGCCGCTCCTGCGCCAGGCTCTGCGCCTTCCGGTCGCTGCCCTCCAGGCTCTGCTGCAGCCGCAGGTTCTCGGCGCTCACGCCCTGGTAGCTGAGCTCCAGGCGCTCCGACTTCCTGCCCAGGGCCTTGAGCCGCTCCACGCTGCCGCTCAGCTCCTCCTTCTCCCGCTGCAGCGCCTGGGTCTCCCGCTCCAGCTGCGCCATCTTGGCTCCACTGACGCGCAGGCTCTCCACCAGCCTGCGCAGCTCCAGGTTCTCCTCGCCCAGCTGCTTGTTGTCGCGTGCCAGCCCCTCGAGCTGCACCGCCACGTTCTGCAGGGTGTCCAGGGACTTCTTCAGCGCGCGGTTCTCCAGCTGCAGGCCCCGGCTCTCGCGCTCCAACGCCTCGGCCTGCTCGGACGCCGCCGCCAGGGAGGCCGCCTTCTGGGCCAGCTGCTCCTTCTCCTTCTCCAGCTCCCCGGCCCGCGCGGCCTTCTCCTTGGCCTGCTGCAGGTCGCTGTGCAGCTGCTGCTTCTCAAACTCCAGCCGGCTCAGCCGGCCACTGGTCTCCGCCACCGCCTGGTGCAGGGCCTTGTTCTCCTTCTCCACGTCCCTCACGCGGGCCTCGCTGCTGACCTGGGCCCGCTCCCGCAGCGACCACACCACCTGGTTGAGGTGGTCCCTCTCCTGCTCCAGGTCCTTGATCTGCAGGGAGAGACCGAGGGGGACAGAGCAGGTGCTCGGCTGAAGCTGGATCCTGACTCGGGTGGGCAGGTCCCAGCCCAAACACCCCGAGGCCGCAGGACGCATGGAGTGGTCCTGCCAGCTGCGGCCCGCTCCCTCACTGAAGTCCTGCCCCAAGTTCCCTTGGGCCCCGGAGCTTCCTGCCCCGACTCCTGCCCACCCTGCACCCTCTTCCTCTGGCTGGGGCCCCGGGTCCTTGGCTGCTTCAGGCACTGGGTGCACGGCGGCGGTCCCTCCACCCTGGGTCCCCTTCCCAGGGCCGCACACATCACTGGCTCCCTTTCTCTCCTCAGGCGAGGGGTCCTCGGCCAGCGTCCTTGCTCAAGGACAGCGGCGATGGCAGACAAAGGGCCGGGCTCACTATTCTCGGCCGCAGCACCTGACATGCCTGCCTGCAGCCTGCTGGCTCCCTTCTCCACCGTGACCTACACCCCAGCAGGGATCCCACCGATCTGACCACATGTGAAAAACCCCTTTCGCTTTTCTTTTTTGGTGGGTGGAGTGGTGTGGGGGCACCACTAAAACCGCACCAGTTTGTCCTACCCCCACCCCCGGTGCCAAATAGTAGACCTGAGCACCATAGTGTTTTCTTGAGTGTAATATACAGAAGACAGCAGCCAGGCCTTTCCCACGCGGCACCACTGCTGGGTGGGTTCAGAACACCCAACCTTTCGGTGAGCAGCACCACACTCTGGGGACCGACTGTCACCGAGTGGATCCGGCTCCGAGTGACCCCGAGTAGTGCTTTCTGAGACTGTGCGTCTTTACAAGAATAGCCAGCCTCCTATTCTCCCCACAGAGCAGTGGGTGGGTCTGACCAGGCCGATCTGACAGTTGGCAGTTCTACCACTTACTCCCCATCCCCACCGAGTGTCACAAACCAGGGCCAAACTCGCTGCCCTTGGGCTGCTCACTGCAAGGTCGGCCGTTCTAACCCACCTGTTAAAAAAGGTCAAAAACCCACAATACTTGCCCCAGCCTTCTTCCTGGAAACTGGATGCCAACCCCGGCCAATGGCTTCCCTCTGCCCCTCACCCTCCATCTCCCCGCCCACCCTGCAGGAGCAGAGAGCAGCCCCCAGGAGGCTTTGGGCAGAGCAAGGGAAGCCTGTGCCCCGGAGGGTCATCGTGGGGTCCCTGAATCTGCACTCACCCCATCCCTGCAACCTCTCGTGGTGAGAGGCTAATGCCGCCCCGTGGTTCTGTGGGGGCTCGAAGCCCCACGCTGTGGGGAATGCCCACTGTGTGGACCAGCCTATACGCACTGCCCGACGTGAGGCTGCCCACCCCTACCCAGGTTTTTTCCCATTTGAGCCAGGTACACCCCATCACGATCATCCATCCAAAGCCCCCCGCCCCCAACACAGTTCCTCCTGCCACCAAGCTGGGAAGCCAGTCAGCAGGCAGCCCACGTCCTCAGACTGTCCCCAGACCAGGGAGGAAGCCCTGCTCGCCGGTGCTCCTCGCGCAGGGAGGTGCCCACCTGCCTGGCTCTGTCCGCCTTCAGCATGTCCATGTCGGACTGCAGCTGCTCCTTCTCCTTGATCAGCTCCTCGCTCAGCGTCTCCAGGTCCTGGTTGCTCTGCTTCTCGCGCTCCAGCTGCGCCTGTAACTTCTCGATCTGCGGAGCCCAGGACCCCGCCCAGGGCGAGAGTCAGACTCAGGGCGCCGGCTGGCCTTGCAGGTGAAGCACCCACTTCCCAGCCCCCTGGAATTCTCCAGCGGGCTTTTTCTCCCAGAACAGAGCGCTGGGGACAGAGCGGGTGGAAAGCCGGGCTGCTAATGGAGAGGTGGGCAGCTTGAGTCCATCAGCCGCTGCTCGGGAGAACAACGAGGCCCCTGCTCCCATCAAGATCCTGGCCTTGGAAAGCCACAGGGCGTCGGCGGTCCTACCGGGTGACTAGGATGCGAATCAGCTCAAGCACCTCTCTGGGAAAAACTGCGTGGCTTTGTTCTGCAGCCACCTCCTCTTGCCCGCACCCCTAAACCCGGCCCTTTCTCCTTAGGCTTCCCACCCAGCCTGCTGCGGAATTGGCCCCGCAATCAGGTGCTTAGCACCTACTTCCGGCCTTCTACATCTTGCAGGCAAGAACCAAAGTTCTGGGCCCACCGGCTACCACTGCTGAATGCCCCACTGCCCACCTCTCCCGACCCCTGCAGAGTGGTAACTACTGAACCTGCCTCTACCCAGGCCTCATTGTACTGGGCCACGCACCTCTCAGCGCCCTTGTCCTCGGACGTCGAGCCTGGCCCCCCTCCTGTCCCGACAGCCCTCGCTGTGCTGGGTAGGAGCTGGCTGCCCACCTTCCAGCAGCTCAGAACAGGCTCTCTGTTGGTGAGCCATGGCTGGGCAGTGGATTTATGTGGGGTCCCTCTGGGTCACCCCACAACACGGGCTCAGCTTCTCATGAAGCGCCCTGGGAGGCGCGTGAGGTGCCGAGTCGGGGACGGGGTGCATGGGGCCGGCGGCTGGAGCCCACGCACCAGAGAGTGCACCTCAGAGAGACCAGTGAGGCAGCCGTGGGGGTGGTCCCACCTGCCAGGCCCAGAGCCGGGGCAAGTGCTGCAGGGCAGGGGCTCACAGGCCCAGGGCCTTTGGGGACCAGGCAGCAGACACAGGGGACTAGGGACTGCAGGCACTCGGTGAGGGGATCATGCAGGACACAGCAGGCGTTGGCCCGGGGTGGCTTGGAGTGAGGTCGGGGAAGAAGGCTGGTCAGCGGCACCCACTGCCCACATCAGTGAGTGCAGGGAGGGTGCGGTGCATGGAGGAGTGGGGGCGGGGGCACTGAGAAGCGGGAGCAGCCACCCCCAAGGTCGCTGGGTGGTAGGTGACCCACAAATCCACCCAGCGAGCGGAGTAAGTGGGAGGCAGGGCCGTGGGGACCCTGAGGGGCAGCTCGCATCTCTGTAAAGGTCAGCTCTTTCTCACTGCCTGCGAGGGCTACTCCCTGTCACAAGGACACTTCCTGCGCTGCCCCCCACCCCGCCCCCCAACAAAGGGGTCAGCTGCCTTCCTGGATGGGGCACCAGCCAAGGAAGGGGTTTTTCATCATCCTTGGGAGAGAGCCTGGACGCTGTGTGGCACACGGCGCTACCACAGACCAGGGAAAACGGGCAGCCAAGCAAGGAGGTCCCTCGGGGACGCGGCCGTGTCCTTGGGGAGTGTGTGCTCCAGCTCCCCACCCAGGTGGACCCCAGCAGAGCCAGGAGCCCCAAACGCATTATCATCAAGTCAATTCTGACTCACAGCAACCACATAGGCAGGGAGAACTGCCTGTGGGTCCCGGACGACGACTCTTGACAGGAGCAGAAAGCCTCGCTTTTCTTCTGCAGAGCGGCTGGTGGCTTTGAACTGCAGGCCTGGTGGTTAGCAGCTCACGCAGAACCACCTGAGGCGGTGTGACCACCAGGGCACCTCCTGTGGCTCCCTCCCCTCCCTTAAATGAGGCTGGCAGGGCCTTGGGCAACTCAGGAGGGACAGCCAGGCCGCTTCCGGCCTTGTCCCTCAGCCTCACCCTATGGCGGACCAAGCTCCTCAATGGAGCCAGAATGTTCCTCTCCTCTCGGGCGGTGCTAGCCAGTGACAGGCTCACACGCTCACTCCATTCGCCCAAGTCTGGTCCCCCCGCTCCCAGTGTCTGGGGGACCAGTGGCTGTCCCCGAGAACAACTAACTGCCACTCAGCCCTCTTCCTCTTACCCCACAATCCCGGAGCGCGTTGAGGGTGCCTGCAACTCTGGAACCAGCACCGGACTAGCCTGCTTGCCCTCCCTGACCCTGCTTCCCCGCCCTGCTCCCTGACTTCTGGGGGCACCCCTCATAGCTACAGCTCACTGCCCGCTGCCACCGAGAAGACGCCATCTCCCTACAGGAAGCCCCTGCAGGCGCAATGGCTACACACCGGGCTACGGCCGCCGGCCAGCAGTTTGAAGCCACCGGCCCCTCTGAGGGAGAAAGAGGAGGCAGTCTCAGAAGTTCACGGGGCAGTTCTACCCTGGGCTGTATGGTCGCTGCTAGTTTGTTTCGGTTTTTGACTACTGCCCCTACAGAGCAGCGTTGAACTGCTCCTCAGGGTTTCCAAGGTTGACTCATGTCTTTCTTTCTCCCTCGGAGTGACCGGTGGCTTTGAACCACCGGCCTTGCCATCAGCAACCCAGCCTTCGACCCGCTGGCTCATGTCATCCTCACAACGCCTCTTAGGTGGACACCACCACCCCCCAAGGCCGGGCACGGAGTTAAAACAAGGGCCTAGGCCGCACCGGGAGGCGGTGGGGCAGCAGCTGGGACTCTGCAGGGGCTCACGGGGACCCTGCCGGGTTACCTTCTTTTCCAGCTGCCGGGTCTCCTTCTCCAGCTCAGTGCACTTCAGGCTGCTCTCGTCCAGCGCCAGGGTGGCCTCTCGCAGCCCCTGCACAGCGCTCTGCAGGCCCTTGTTCTCCTTCTCCAGCTTCAGGATGCGGCTGGACGCACACTCGTTCAGCTCAAATACAAACGACTTCCTGGAGGCTGAGGCACAGGGAGGGTCAGAGGCCAGCGCTGCACGCACCCCCCTGGGCCCCCCAGGAGACAGGCGCTATCAGTCCTGACCCTACGCTTGTGGTGGGAAGCCCGCGTGGAAAGGGGGTGTTCTCTGCTACGGTCAGCAGGCCATTTGCTCAACGTGCAGGGTGTGCACGAAGTCACCCAGCCGGCGTGGAGATACGATAGAGAGGGCAGATGAGGCTTAGGAAACAAAACAAACCCACGGTGGTTCTCAGCCACCGTGCGGGCAAAGCAGGTGTGCCCCCGTGGGTTTCCGAGGCAGGACATCTATACGGGTGCAGAAAACCTCATCTTGCTCCCTCGGGGCGGCTGGTGGGTTTGAACGGCTGACCTAAGGGTTCACAACTCAACACTAACCACCACGCTGCCACTGGTTTCTCTTAGGCACGGCAGCAAGGGCGAAAGTGGGAGGCAGATACCACGTGGGAATGCCAAGACACAGGAGCAGAGAGAGAGAGGGCAGCCCCCCAGGGGGCTTGCCCCGCAGCCAGCAAGGGAATCACGACTCTGGTCTCCCCAAACATGAGGAAATGAATCTCTGTTCCTGCCGTCTCCAGGGACTGGCCCCACGTCAGTACGTGGGTCGGTGGCTGATCATGGTTGGGTCTACGGAGCACCCTGACCGTACTTTTTCTACAACGGATTGCTCATTGTTCCGGCAGCCCACGGTGTAGTTGGTATTTGTCGCCAACACCGGGATTCAGAGACACCCACGCATTGCGGTCAGATGCCATAGGGTCGGTTCTGACTCACAGTGACCTCATGCACAAGAGAACCAAACCCTGCCCGGCGGTCCTGTGTCCTCGGTGTCCAGCCGTCCGTCTCCTCTGTCCCCGCCCTCTTGACCAAACCGTTGTCGGAGGCGGGTTTGGCAAGTGACCAGACCGTGGTTCCCGCCAGGCATGGCTCAGTCCTCAAAGTGACATCTTAGCTTCGTAACGCTTTGAAGAGGGTTTCTACAGGCTTGCCAGTGCGACACGTCGCTGGATGGACTGCTGTCTCCGCGATCGGCGCCCGTGTATCTGGTGACGTGAAGCCCTGACGGTGTCCGCCTTGCCATCGGTGATCGCGATGTGGCGTGCAGGCCCAGTTGCGAAGATTTTTGTTTTCTCTGTGTTGAGGGGCGCCATGTGGAGAACTGCAATACGGCCCTTTTCAGCCAAAGTCGAAGCTCCCACCGAATGACTGGGTGGGACTATGCAGCCGTGAGTGTGAGTGGAATCGCTTGTCAGTCACGTAAACAGGAGGTAGAGTACGCGTGTGGGCGCAGACCCTGTGACTAAGGTCTATGGAAGGCTTGGGGGTGGTGGTGCTGGTTTTGCCCGCCCGACGCATTTAGAATGCACCACCCCAGCGTCAGAGAGGGGAGCAACACAACGAAAGGACGCCTGGTCTCAGGCCATGGGGTTGGCCTTCATTTTTAAATCTCAGCACAGGAAGCTGGGGCGACTATGAATAAATCATGGTCACAAGGTGACCTGCGTTGCTGCTCCTGACCTTTAAGCCACACAGAAACTCACATCAAACACATGCCCACTGAGACAGGTTAACATGGTTAAATCTTTACAGGAACACGCGGCCTCCTTTTTCACCTGTGGTGTGGCTGAAAGTGGGTTTGAACTGCTGACCTTGTGGTTAGTAGTTAATTGCACACCCACTATACCATCAGAGCTCCTTTGCCTCGCTGGAGTCCTGGCATCACTGGTGCTTTGCCTAAGGCAGGCTGCACCACCGCTCTGTCCCACCAGGGGGCGGTGGTCTCCTGGGCAGAGGTCCGCCCTTGTTCTGTTCTGTCATCGGGCACCCAGACATAAACACAAACTCACTGCCACCGAGCCAATCCTGACTTACAGCGACCCAGTAAGAACCTCCCTCAGGGGTTCCAAGGCACTTAAATCCTTACTGGACTAGAAAGCCGCATCTTGCTTCCCCCAAGCTGCTGGTGGATCTACGCTGCTGGCCTTCCGGTGAGCGGCACCATGGGAAAACCACTGTGCCATCAGGGCTCTGCCCCCTAGCATAGAGCAAGCAGGCGTCTCACAGTGACTGACAGTCCAACGGATTTTAGGTTTGGAACTGAGACTCCGTTGAAGCCGACTGACCCATCGTGTCCGTATATGGTAAAGTAGAACGGGTCCTGTAGGTTTCCAAAGATGTTACTCTTTTGGGGAGTAGAGTACCTCACATTTCTTCTTCAGAGAGTCTGGTGGTTTTGAACTCCTGACCTTGCAGTTAACAGCCCACCACATAGCCACTGCACACCCAGGGCTCCCTCAAGAAAAGGTATTCAATAGCCAGTTGCTCCCCCAACCTTTCCATTGTGCACTGGGATGCTGACCAGGGTTTTTTTGTAAAGCATCGTGGGAAAAACAAGGCAGAAACCACCCCTTCTGTGCTGAGCCCTGCCAAGTTCTCTGTCCCGGTGAACCTGCTCCATCCGGGGCACGTGACGGTGAACATGCACTATTTCAGGGCACAGGAACCGGCTCATTGTCGGCAGGCGAGGGAGCTTCCTGCTGTGGTGCTGACTGGGCTCCACCCATCTTCAGGGAGCTGACACCCTGCCTGGGGTGCTGTCAGCAGGGGAGAGGAGGACCAGGGCAGCAGTCGGAAAACCAGGGTGTCTCGGGAAAGGGTTCAAGGACAGAACACAGACTACATGTTCATCTTCCCCAGTTATGCAAATCACAGGGACTCACTATGGCAGGGACGAGGGACCCTGGGGCCATGGTGGCGTGGTGGTTACACACTGGGCTGCAATCCACGGGCTGCAGCAGTTCCAAGCCACCGTGGGAATACAGATGGGCCTTTCTACTCCCATAAAGAGCTACAGTCTCAGGAACTCACAAGGGCAGTTCTACTCGGTCCTCGAGGGCCGCTGTGACCCCTAGGGACACCTCCCACTTGAGGTCCTCAGTCGTCCGCAGACAGGCCCTCAGAGTCCTCTGGTGTCAGCATGCTGCACCCGGCCACTTCTGGGGTGTCCGTATGGAGCCCAGGGCCTGGAAAGGCTGGGTGGGTCCCTCACATGGGGAGAGCCAGCTATGGGGCACCATGTTCCCCTTGGGGCAACACTGAGTCAGGGCCTGGGGAGGGGCAGAGGCAGAGCTGGGCCTGGCCCCCCGCAGGACCCACCGTCAGACAGGTCCGCGTGCTTGGAGAGCTGCTCCAGCTCCCAGCCGAGGTGCGCAGACTCGTTCATGCTCTGCTTCTGGGCCATCTCCAGGACCATGTTCTCCTCCAGCAGCTCCTCGATCCGCTTCTTGTCCGTGTCCCTGTCCTGAGGCGGGGGAGGGGAGCGAGGGCGAGTGTGGCCGGGGTCCCTCCTATGGGGCACCCTCCGACCCCTGCACCCTCAGTGCCCTGTCTGTTCCGCATGGGAGACCTGCTGGTGAGTGCTGTACTGTCAAGTACGTGACCACGTAGCACTGGCTCCCGGGACTGTCAAGTTTGGGGATCAGGCCTCCAGGTCTGTCTTCTGAGGGGTCTCTGAGTGAGTTTGAACTGCCAACCTCCTGGTTAGTGGTCAGGCACACGTCCAAAGATTGGAGGTCTGCATCCACCCAGAGGTACCTTGAAAAAAGGCCTGGCGTTCCAAGCTGAAAATGCAGCTGCTGCAGAGCCTGTGTAGCACTGCCATCTAACTCTGACATCCACAGGCAGCTCAATGGCAAATGTTCAGAACTGGCTCCCGCCCGGGTGGCACTGGGGGCTAGGCTGGGGGGGGGGGCTGCCAACCACAAGGTCGGTGGTTCAAACTCACCAGTCGCTCCTCAGGAGAAAAAGGAGGCTGTCTGCTCCCATAAAGATTTAGTCTTGGAAACCCTGTTTAGGGTGGCTATGGGTTGGAATCGACTCGATGGCCGTGGGCTTGGGCACCAAGATTATAAGGAGCCTGGAGGGGGCCAACGGTCTGCAGGCAGCTGCTATCCTAAAGGTTGGTGGTTCAAACCCAGCCTGGGGTCCTGCTTCCATAAAGATAAACCAAACTCCAAACCCACTGCTGGTGAGTGGCTTCTAATTCAAAGCATCCCTGCAGAACTGCCTCTGTGGGTTTCCAAGACTGTAACTCCTTATGCAAGTAGAAAGCCCCGCCTTTCTCCCTTTGGGTGGCTGGTGGTTTCGAACTGCTGACTTTGCTGTTAGCAGCCCAGCTCGTACCCATTGTGCTACCAGGGGTCCCTAGAGCCGACAGCCAAGAACCTCCTATGGAGCAGTTCTCTGTAACACACTGGGGCACCAGGAGTCAAACTGGCTAATAGCAATAGTTTCTGTTTTCGTGGGGATGTTTTAGGGCGGGCGGGTGAGGGACAGGAGGGGTTTCCCTAGATCATGGAAAGAGATTCCAGATTTCCAATTCCAACTCACGCAGGGCTGGTGGTGACAGGCAGCTCTGTGGCCCCAGGGAAGG